AGGAGAGAGAAGAGGATAAAGACAGCAGTGAATCAATAGAGAGGCAGACGTTAGTGAGAAACAGATATGGCTTATTAACTGTTGATGATGACATGTATAGTATTCTCAACTGGATTGGTCTGAGAAGTATTTCATGATGGGCAAAGTATTTTTACAAGCAAAATGAGAAATAGCGATTGACTGTTTTAAAAAATAATTAGAATAATAAAAATAATGATTGGGGAAAACATAGAAAAGATATTGAATGTTGAAGTGGGGAGATTAATGTCTCTGTACTGACTGACATGCATGGCATTCCCTTTTGAAAAAACAATGTAATACACTGTAAAGTTATATGTAATCCAATGTAATATAAAGAAGATTATGATGATAATAAAAAATAAAGAAAACAAAAAACACCGAGCAGGTGTGCATGCATGCCCAAAATACCAAGAGGAAGACGAAGGGATGTTGGTGTGGCCATCCTCCCTAGGGGTGAGTCCTCATTTCCCAGTCTATCTCTTTCTAGAGAGTGCATTCGCCATATAGCTAAAAAGGAAATTAAGGGGCCGGCAGGTGGCGTGGTGGTTAAGGTGCTAGACTCTCACATGGTCAACCATGATTTGATTCCCACACTTGGTGGCTTGCCTTCCCACTTTCCCTTTCTCTCTCTGGTCAAATTTAAGTAATAATAATAACAAATTTAAAAATTTTTTTAAAGAAAAAAAATTTTTAAAGACACAGGAGACAGAGATATTATTCTTAAAAATAATGTCCTTAAAGGGGCCGGCAGATGGCGTGGTGGTTAAGGCATCTGGACTCCCACATGGCTGACCACGGTTAGAGTCCTGGACCTGGCAGCTTGCTTTCTCACTTTCCTTTTCTCTCACTGTCTCTCTCTGGTCAACTTCAAAAAAATGAAATATAAAAAATAATGACAATGAAATTAAATAAAATATTTTTAAATAAAATAAATTAAAAAGAAATAATAATGTCCTTAAAGACTATACATGTACAGGGACCAGCAGTTGGCATAATGGCTATGTAACTGGACTCCCATGTAGTCAACCGCGATTCAAGTACCAGACCCGGTGGCTTAAAACTCACGCCAGGCACATGTGTGTGCATACCCAAGATCCCAAGAAAAGAATGGAGGAGAAAGAATTGTGGCATGGTCACCCCCCTGGGGGATGACTTCTCGCTTTCTGTCTTTCTGTCTCTCTCTCTCTTTCTAGCAAGCGCATACAACCTATAGCAAAAACTTCTCAGAAAAAAAAGACTATACATGTACACACATATGTATAACTTTTAGCAGTGGATCTCTCGGAAGAGAAAGGTTGCAGGTATATCATTTTCAAAGTTAAGTATATTCTACAATTGTTTTGTTTGTGTGTGTTGTTTTTTGTTTGTTTGCTTTCTAGTTTTTACTGTGGACATGCACACTCTCTAAAGAAAAAGAGGGAGAGGGAAAATGAGAAGTCACCACCCCTTGGGAGGGGTATAGCAACTCTGCAATTATTTATTGTAAATTGTTCACATTCTACTTTGTACCTTCTCCCGGGAAGGCCATGAACTCCTGAAACACAAGATCTATAATCTTCTTTTGTGCACTGTACACACCCAACAAACAAACCAAGGAGGAAATAATAGGTCACATGTCTCATAGTTCCCCAGACACACTGCAGGGAGGAACTTCATCATAAAGAGTATGGTCCATCTGTCACGATCAACGGACCACTATTGGTTTATTAACGGATACATCCTTAGCTAAGTCCTTTATTCAGATGCCATTTATTTTTATCTAATGTCCTCTCTCTGTCCCAGGATCTCATTCAGGACACCACACAAATTTTACTTGTGTCTTTCTAGGCTCTTCTTGGCTGTGACAGCTTCTCTGACTTTCCATATTTTGGTGACACTGATAGTTTTTTGCTTTGTTTTGTTTTTTAAACAATTATTTAATTTTATTCATTCATTCACTCATTTTATTTTGACCAGAGAGACAGAGGGGAAGGAAAGTGAGAAAGCAAGCCACCAGGTCTGGGACATGAACTGCAGTCCGGCCTCCCAACCACTACATCACCTGCCAGCCCCACTGGTCAGCTATTTTGTAGAATGTCCTTCCACTGGAATTGTCTGCTCTTTTCCTCGTGATCCGACAAGGTTACGAGTTTGGGCAAAGAAGACTGCAGAGCTAAAGTGTTGCTTTGGGTAATCCATTTAAAAGTTCAAAGAGGAAAAAACTAGTATTCCGACTAGACTCATTAAAGTAAAACTTTGCAAAGTAAGGCTCTGTCCCCTTCACCCCCTTTTTCTTTTTACTATAGGAAGCGTGAACTCACTGGAGAAAAGGGAGAGAGAGAGAAAACACAACCCACGGCAGGGGGACATGGCCACACTGCAATCCCTTCTTCACTCTCTTCCCGGGATTGTGGGCACGTATGCACACGCACCCTGCTTATCTTTCAACCCACTGGGTCTGGGACTTGAACCTCAGTATCGGCCATATGGGATGCCCCAACCACCATGCCACTGACCAACCCCCCCGACCACCACCACATTTTCATTCTTCTCCTTGTCAGATCCCTGCTTTCCATCCACTGGGATAACGCATAATAATAAATGCACAGTTTACCGTGTACCAAATATTAAGCCATCTATGAGCTGTACAGATTATCCCATTTAATAGTTGGAACAATCTCATTATGTATATATTATTATCACTGTTTAAAGATGAGTATGGAAGGTTTTATTTTTCAAAGATGATAACCTTTAGATATCCCATTCCACAGGCTTGTATTACAACATATCTTTGAAACACCTTCATCAAGAGGGAAGATCAGTGGGCAAGCACTGCAGAGCAGTAGTTCAGGGAGTGGATCCCACATGCCTGTCCACAGTTTGAGTCCTGGTCCAGGAGGATGTGCTGATATGAATGCGTGTGTGCCCAAAATTCTACAGGAAGGAGAAATGGAGGAGAAGGGATTACGGTGTGACCACACCCCATTAGGGGGGAAGTGTTTCTCGCTCTCTCTCGCTCGCTCGCTCGCTCTCTCTCTTTCAGGTGGGTGAACATGCCCTCTAGTAATTAAAAAAGAGAGAGAGAAAGAAGTTGGATCTATGTTCTCTTCCTGGATCTGGAGACTGCAGAAGTGCCACTATACTGCATCTCGGACAAAGGCAGCAGAGGTGACAGCACTTTCACCCGGCACTCTCGGGATGGTGCTCAGGACTCCACTGCCATGTCGTCAGGAAGCCCATGCCTCATGGAGAGACTGCAGATCACGTTCTGGCTGACAGCCCTGGCTGAGGTCCCGGGGACAGCCAGTATCAACAGCCAGACATGTAGGTAAGGAAACGGAGGATGACTTCGGTTCCAGCCACTAACTGACTGCAAATGCCTGAGACGCCAAGTGAAACCTACCGGAGTCTAGGCAACCTGCAGAGCCACGAGAAAGAACGATTACTGTTATTTTAAGTCACTAAGTTGGAGCGATTTGTAAGGCAGCAATGGGCAAGAAAAACAATGAAGAAAACCAAAAACAGGTGGGTAGCCTGCCTGCAACTGCTGTGACTGCAGATCCAAGGCCCACGCTCTAATAACCAGGGTGTGTGACTTCATGCTCCCTGCTAGTACAAATGATGCAAAATAAAGAGAACAGAGACACTTTACAGCATGATCGATACATGGCACACACATAGGTCCAGAAAGCAAGTAAGAGAATACACTAGAAAAATTCTAAAATAAAGATCAATACAATAATCTAGCATTCTTTCTTTCTAAAGAATTATTTATTTCGTTTTATTTATTATTACTATTTTTTTAAGAGAGGTTTTTGCGATAGGGTGCATGCGCTCGCCAGAAAGACAGCGAGAGATACAGAGACAGAAAGCGAGAAATCACCCCCCAGGGGGGATGGCCACGCCACAATTGCTTATCTACATTCTCCTCTCAGGATCTTGGGCATGCACACACACGCACCCGGCGTGAATTTAAGCCACCGGGTCCAAGACTCAAACCGT